TTCTCTGGCATCAGCTAATAGGCCACAACTTTGCTAATTAACAGATATAAACATTAACTTGCATCAAAATGTATAGCCAGAGACTTCACTGCATTGCATCTTGTGTCCAGTTGGGCCCATCTCACTTTAAAATGATCTAGGAAAGAATTACTCAGGACAATATTTGTGCAAACATAGCAATCATTTTCTTAAATTCAAATAAGGTAGAATTCCAAGTATATATTACTAAAAGACCAGTTTTCCTACAAGAACTGTTCACAGTGCACAACTATTGAAACAAGTTGAAAAAAGTATTTTTCCTATAAATGAAATGTTACAGCTTGACAATAACATTGATCCTTTTAAAAACCTGTTTCATTGATAAATTTCAACAAAGTAGGTTGGATAATTAAAAAAATTATACATATGACCAAGAGATGAATCGTTGCAGCTAAGGCCCTTGCCCTGCAAACGTTTATATCACATGTATAGTCCCATCATTGGGACCACTGCATGAATAAGGGTTTGCTGGATCACATTTTGGTTTGGGTCTTTAGTTCCTTTTCTTTTTTGTCAAGATGACATTGTATTGTAGATGTTTAATTTTATGCAGGAAACATAGTGCTTCTGCGTAACAAATATTTTTAAATAACTGATGCTGAAAGGAGGAAGGTAAGCAGAAGCCAACAAGGCATGCAGGCTTCAAAACTAAACAATATTACAACAACAACAATCATAAAAGGATGTATTCCTTCAAACAGCCTGTGTAGTCAGCCTGTGCAGTGGAACAAGATGTCACAGAGTTAAATATTTGGGCTGGATTTAAAAAGAGGCTGAATAACATTATCACCAATAACAACATTTTTATTGTTATTCATGCTAAAGAAGGATAATTGTCTGTCATGGTTCTGGGTAAGCTAATCTCTGCTGCTATAAAAATATATTTTTAACGTAAATGTATATATGATTTAAACCTGTCTATATCTCTATGTACTTTTTCTTATGGAAAGCACCTATGACATTATGGGAAATACTGAAATACGATTATTATTATTATTAATAATAATAATAAATAATGATAGGCAGGGAGGCCTTTTCCCCTACACATACAGCATTGCTCAATTGTCTAGAGCAATTTTTATTTTTGCCTTCCTCTGAAGTAATAGGTTTCCAGACTAGATGATGGACAGTTGCTGTGATTTTCGTAAGGCAAATCCTATGTTCTTATACACAGTTACATTTTAACAAAAACAAGAAGGAAAATTAGATCTCTTAGCAGCCAGCTTCTCTGCTCAGTGGTGACAGGCTTTAGTTTTAGAATGTCTTTTTAATCTAATAGAAATAAAGATAGGTATACATATAGTTTTGCCACTAAAAAGTCAACATCTATCAAGATCTACCAACCACAATGTGGTACTTGAGATATTGTATTTATCTGCTGTTCTAAAAGCAAAAATGAGAAGTACCAGATTATATAAAAATGCTGATATTAAGTCATAGCAAGCATATATTAGAGAGAGACAGATCTTAAATAAAATGTTTAAAGGCTCAATCATTCTCTGAAAATTTAAAAACCATCATCATTCTTCCATGTTATGCATGGTATTCACCCTTTTGTACACAGAGTTGCTGGGATATTTGAATTGACAAATAGATGTTTTTGCAGAATAGTAAAGGTGACTTTTCAAAGTGACTTATCAGCTTAGATGCAGAATCTGTATTACCACAGTGGTACACGGTACATACAACACAGTACTGTGTACTTTATGTAAAATTTGAAATTCTTGTTTATATTACATTTTATATTTTTCAGAGTTGAGCCTAAGCCACAAGCTTCAGATCTAGACTTTGAATCTCCAGCCCCAAAATCTGAAGGCTGTCAATCCAGGGTTTTGTTTCAGTTCAGTATAGAGATAAGGGGAATCTTTATCTCGGTATTACACTGTAACACCATTCTGGGTCAGTACTGACTCACTGAGACTGAGGAATAAATACATGCTACTACTTTTTGCCGACACAGGAATGCATCAGCACCACTTCATGAAGCTCTTGGGGGGAGGCATAGCTCAGTGGTTTGAGCATTGGCCTGCTAAACCCAGGGTTGTGAGTTCAATCCTTGAGGGGGGGCCATTTGGGATCTGGGGCATAAATTGGGGATTGATCCTGCTTTGAACTGGATGACCTCCTGAGGTCCCTTCCAACCCTGATGTTCTGTGATTTCCTAGGAAGTTGCCTATCAAAGTACTAAACTGACCATGTCCAAACAGCATACTTTATGAGAAAGAGGAAAGATGGTCTTAGAGTTAAGGCACTACACTAGGACTCAGAAGATCCAAGTTTTGGTCCCAGCGATGCTGCAGACATCGTATGTGACCTTGACCAAGAAACTTGGACCAAACATTTTCAAAAATGGCCCTGTATTTTGTGTCCCCAACGCAACATACATTGGGCCTCATATTCAAAACTGCTGAGCACCCAAACATGAGCTGACTTCATTTGGAACTGCGGATGTTCAGTGTCTCTGAAAATCAGACCAAAGATGTCATAGTTGGTATTCAGAAACTGATGCACACAAAATAGCAACCACTTTTGAAAATATGGACCTTTATCTTTCTGTCCCTCAATTCCACATCTGTAAAATGGAGTTAATTCCACCTCTGTACTTAGCAAAGGTGCTGAAAGGATAACTTCATTAAGCTTTATGCTTAAGCTTTCAGATTGTATGATGATGAGCAGCACCAAAAAACCCAATCAACAAACAAACAAATAAATAAATAAATAACAAATACAAGATGTATAGATCACAGCCAAAAGTGCTACAGGCATTATCTTAATAACTTTCCTGTCATATTGGCAAATTTACATTTCTCAAGTAGTGTAATATTCCTACCATGCCTCTAGGAAAAATATGATTCAACTCACTAACTAACTAATTGCAATTTCCCAGAATCACTCTGATTTTCCATAAATATCTTAACTTCAAGCATCCATCCTGTTTGGTTTATAAAATCCTTTCCTTAGGTAATAATTTTCAATTGCCTTTTTTTCTTTTGTATACAGAGTTTCATTTGTTTGTGCAAGACTTTGCTCCAAGAATTCTGGAAACCATTCAAACGCGAAGCTGATGCAAGTAGTGTCTTATTAGCCATATTTTATAAACATGTTTGCATTTGGAATTTCTCATTTAAAGACAACACCATTTACACATACGAAATGTTATTGTTTTAAGTGGAGTTTTCAGATTTGGAAAAGAAACAAACATTTAAATTAAAAATGAAAAAATAGAAAATGCAACAAGAGAAGTGGGCTAGTAAATGAACCGATGTTAACTGCTGTTAAGGAGGGAGGCCACTCCTTCCTAAAATTATATGTAAAGGCATGGTTTTTTTGTGATGACAGTCATCTATGGAGAAGAACATAAAGAACTGCCCAGAATATTGTAGGGAACAATTCTACACTAATGGACTACAGCAGTGGTTGCCAAGATGTGGACTGTGAATTAACAGGGCTCTACAAAACTCTTTGTGGTGGTCCATGGAGTAAAGTAGTTTGACAGTCCAGTCTTTAAAGAGATATTAGTGATTATGAGGTGGGTCCATGGGAGAAAGATCTCTCTATTACAAAATGGTCTGCTAGCTGCTCAGATTAGATGGACTAATACATTTTTCCAGCTCTAATTTCTTTTTTTAGAAAATTATTGGAAGTCAATAAACAGTGAATAAACAAGAAAGAGTAGTCAGTAACTTACATGCTGCAAGCAGAGGACCCAATGAATTATCCAAAGCCAACTTTCACATCAATTTGTTCAAGAACAACATAAGGGTGAAACTACACCAGCAGCGTGGTCTAGTAGAGCGGGCAGTAAGCTGAATGTCAGGAGATTTGGGTTGTATCCCTGACTCTGCCGTAAACTAGCTGTGACAATGGGCAAGTCATTTCAGTGCTATTTTCCCTCCCACCCTTTGTTGTGTTTAGACTGTAAGCTCTTTCGGGGCAGAGACTTTCTCATACTATATGCCTGTATAGCACCTAGTGTGATGAGGCCACAGTCTTGGTTAGTGCCTCATAGTATTGTAATACAAGTAATAGAAAGGACATAGGTCAAAGCATCTCCTGTTTGATTATGTGATTAAAAGTGGAGGGGAGGTAAGGAGAAGCAGCCTATACGCTCCAATATTTGGGGGAGTGTAATTAAGAATTAATGAATCAGCAAAAATAAATAAAAAATAACTCTTAATCTACACAGGAAGTAAGAGAACTGTGATAATTTAGTTCCAGTATGGATATTTCGACCGCTATTCTGTTGTGCATAGATGGAACATCTAGATAAAAATGGCATGTCTTGTAAGGTCTAAATGTACAATGTTACGGTGAATTTAAGTTAAAAACAAAAATGTGACTGTCACCCAATTGGAGATTTAAGACCATATTTTAGGTGAGTGAGTTACCCTCCTTAGGTGCACATGAACTCATGAATTAAGGCACGTTTGAAAGTACCCCTCTGTCCAATGAATTCCTGGAACTCTCCATGAATTCCTTGTGTTGAGGCTTCTGTATTGTAATCCCCTGTATAAGGTGTACTAAATAATCATGGGATCTGAAGTAGTAGCCCTTGCCTGGATCCTCCATCTGGAAGATGGAAGTGCTACAGAGATAACAGCTACGAATGGTACTTAGCATAGGGATGATGGCAATTTAATGTTACTTTGATTTTATTCACTCACTGTGGCAGTTCCTAAGTGTTTGTGATACAAATGACATTGCTCTCAGCCTAAAAAAAATTACAGTGCAATTGAATCACTAAACAATATTTTGGTAATGTGTTGTCAGATGAATTAAAAAACGATTCGTACAATATAGCACTGAGCTATCACACACAAATTTGAATATGATACGTTAAAAGAAAGAGGTCAAGAAATTCTGTTCAAAACACAAGGAGAGCATTGTTTTCACCTTCTTCATCCAGCTATAAAATGTAAAAAACATAAAGAAAATATGTAGATTGTTTAGAAAGAACATACCTATTAGCTCCTTATTTCTGACATCTAAGGCCATGTTTCGTAAAGCTGTAGCAACTGCACATACCACCCGATCATTGTCTATTCGAAGTAGCTCCACCAGGATCGGCAGGCCTTTTTCTTTGCGGACGGCAGCACGGATATACACTGACCACTGTAAAGAGATATTGGATGAGGGAGATTGAAAAAGAGATTGGGGAATGCTGTCAAGAAAAGGAGGGGTGTGTGGTTATGAAGATTGCTATCTTGAGGAGTAAAGGAAGAGAGCTAGGAGTAATGGCTGTAGAATCTAAAGACAAGAAGAAATTGTTATATCTATGATGCTAGACAACCACTTGACCTGGAAACCCATATTTATTTTTTACTGGTGACAGAAAAATTTAATGATTTAAACTTTTAATCCTTGTACACTTGGTTACCGCTTTACTGTCTGAGTTGCAGGCCATTTGCTTGGCGTCAGTATCCCCTGGCCAAACTTGAAGAAGGATTGTTTGTTCCTAATGTCATTTAATGTTACAAAATTTGTTTAGGAAGTTAGCATGCTTCCTGGCTGTCAACTTGACGAATGTTAGACCCAAACCCAAGAAGGAACTTCATTATTTCGTTCAAGACAGGCAATTTGCTCAGGAGAGGAAGTGAGGAGGGAGTTATACTACTGCTTTTACTGTTAAAACACATCGGCCCAATCCTGCAGTGCCTGTGTGTGCAAAATTCCCACTGATTTCAATGTGTTGAATTATGTACATGTAGGGACCTCAGGATCAGGCTTGTTATTAGAAATATGACTCAACCATGAAGGATCTAAGATTTTGGTCTGAGCCCATCTAGTTCACAAGATGCTGAAAGTTACATTATTTTACCCGACTTATAGTATCAATGAGCCAATTAATTCGATTTTATGAGCACCAGACATAGTCTCGGAAGGTGAACAGTTTTATAAAAAGCTTGTCATACCCAGGCCCCTAGCAACAAAACAGAATGTGATGACAGAGTGCATGAAGCAGAATGATATCAGTGAGAGACAATCTCAGGAAAAAGCTATTTGGCTTTGACGGAACAAATCACATTTTTCTATGTGAACTGGTTGTGTAGGATATTTGAGGGGTGTGAATCTGCTGTCTGCATACATGCAGTGCTTTAAGTCCTAATGGCTCTCTGACTGTGTGCCTAATTCTAGAGTGATAAAAACTGTATTTAAGATATATACTGATGAAATAAGTGAGATCAGACTCTTTCCCTTACATATATTTGGTTACATGATTGTTAAAGTTCTTAATCCAAGTGTTGAGAACACCTGCTGAGCAGTCACAACTACTACTGAAATCATCTGAATCCAGTGGAGGCTGCATATGCTTAGAACCTCTCAGGTTTTAGCTTTTTTAGTTTAACAGTGAGAGGTAATTCTGGGGTTTGTTCTTTGAGGACACTGTTCTACTCCATATCAATTTAGTTATCCATGAAAATAATGCACTTTATGCAAATATCAATGTGTGACTTCAGGGTGCAAGTCACACAGGCAGCAGTGTATGGTGAAAAAGTTAAGAACTGGAGTGCACTGTGAGAAGGAATTCAAGATGAAAAAGCTCACAGAGATTTTTTTTTTCTGTTTTATAAATAGCTTCCAAATTTCCTTAGTCCTTTCCATGCTGCTCCTTCTGGTTATCCATTATAGTGTCACTGCTCCATTAATCAATCAAATCAATGATAGTGTAACAAGTAGTAGTTGAAGATAAAGCAGTTATAGAAATATTAAGGAATACAAATTAGGCAAAAATGCAATCCAATGCTTTTGCTTGGGTTTTGGAATAACAAACCTGTTCAACAGATGGCAGTATATATACTGTAGCTAATGTACAGTATAGAGGGTTGCTCACGGGTGGCGGGTGAACCGCTGGCTCTGGGAAGCTAGCCTTCAGCCTCACCCCTTCCACACCTCCCTCCCACCTAGAGCCCCCCTACTGTGCCGCTGGCTTCTGCCCCAGGCTAGAGCCCCAGCCTCCCTCCTCCAGCCCCAAAGTGCTGGGAGGCCAGGCAGCGTGGCCCCAGCCCTGGAGCACCAGGAGGCAGGGAAACGTGGCCTCAGGCCTCCTTCCCCTGGCCCGGAGCGCTGCTCCAGCCTTCCCAGCCCCGGAGTGCCGAGAGGCCTGGCAGCACAGCCCCATGACCCCTGGCCCCAGAGCACTGGGAGGTCAAGCAGTGCAGACCCAGTGACAGCCCCAGCTGGGATCATGGCACAGGGGAAGAGCTGCCCACAGAGTGGGAATCAGGAGTGTGACTGGGGGCAGAATGTGGGCGGGGCCACACCTGGCTGTTTGGGGAGGCTCAGCCTCCCCCAGTATATGATACCCGCTGCCCATGGGGTTGCTGAATACTTCTGTCCCTTTGACAGAATAAAAAAAGTTGTATCTCTGTCTTTCTCCTGAATCACAACAGTTGCCTCTAGTGCATATTGTGGGGTAAACATATGTGCTTGATTTCACAGTGCATTGACTTCATTGGAGTTGCAGAGATGTAACCAAAGGCAAAAGCTGATGTATTTGTTTAATATGCTTTGAGTAGCCCCAAATCCTCCATGTTTGGCTAACCAGGAGATTGTGATTTTTCCCTTTGAGATGAGGAACTAGCTACTCTTATCCACAATTTCCTTGCCTATAAGCTAGACTACTGCAGCACACTTGACCTATGGCTGCCTGTATAAACTATGCGACAGCTTCATCAGGCACAACACACAGCTGCCCACTTCCAGGCAAGAAAAATTGCAAAGCACATTGCATCTGTATTCTGTGCTCTCCATTGACTCTCCATTCAGTTTCACATTCACTTCAAGGTCCTGGTCCTAATATTTAAAGCAATTAATGGGCTAGGGTCTATCTAAATGATTATCTCTCTCTCCTCTTCCCACTGAAACATCTAGGCTCTATATGGATGTTGTTGCTGCAAGAGCCCGGGGGGAACTCCTGGGAGGTGGGGGCAGGGCTTCTTGATGGAAAGCCCTCAGCTATGGAACTCTTTATACCAGTGGAGATTAGAATGCACCCCAGTGTTGCCATTTTCAGGTCACGCTACAAGCCATACCTTTTTGCACACACCAATAACAATTGTGGTGGAATTGCTCAAAAATGTTTGTCATGAAACCACAGCTAAATAAATGGAAGACAAATTCCATTAAATAAAAGTGGTTTAAACAGAAGAGGGTTTGATAGGAGTGTCCTTCGTGGATGGATTCATAATTGGTTTAAAGTCTGCATATGGCACCTAGATATTACAGTGTCAGGCACATTTTACATGCCGTCATCTTATGTGACACAGACATAATTAAAGTATTAATAGATAGGTAAGTATATAAACATTCAAGGATTTCACTGTTACAATTTTCTGAACCCACATTTATTCTAGAGTCTGTCATATGGGGGGAAACAGGGGAAAGGGAAAGAAAACACCATATACAGAATGTTAGTCTATGACTTGCCTTCCTAATAACTCTATAACCTCATCCCCCATGAACCCAGCCCAGGGACTTGCCACATGCTTCCCAAGATACACATACAAGGGAACCATCATATCTGGCCATGGCATTCTTACTGAAGGACTATCAGGATTCATAGAAACTATTCTCAAACCACTTACCACACAGAGGGCCTGCTTCCTCCAGGACACAACTGACTTCCTCCACAAATGCATCAACATTAACAACCTCCCTCAGAACACCATTTTTGCCACCAGGAATGTCACCACCCTATACACCAACATCCCTCACAATGACAGCATCCCTAACTGCCTTAAATATCTATAAGACAATGGACAACCCTCAAATCTCCACCCCAAACACATCACCAAACTCATCATTTCATTCTCACTCATAACAAATTTACGTTCAACAACAAATACTTTATCCAAGCCATGGGAACAGACATGGGTATTAGGATGGTTCCCCAATATGCCAACCACCTTGAAGAAAAAATTCTGGAAAATTGCACCACAAAACCAGTGATATATCTGAGATACATCAATGATACTGTCATCCTCTGAACATACGACTTAAACTCCCACAAAGTTTTCCACCACAACTTCCACATCCCCAACCTGTCCATTAAACTCTCTCTGGAACACTCCCACACTAGCATCAACTTCCTGGACACCACAACCAGCTTCAACAGTGGAACCCTTCAGACAACTATATATAAGAAACCCATGGATCACCACACCTACCTTCATAACTTCAATAACCACCACAAGAAATCTGTTATCTATAGCCACACACTCAGATACCACAGAACATGCTGCGAGGATATACACCTTAACACTCACAAAACTGCCTTTGTCAAACAAGGACACTTCACCAGAGAAGTAGATTGCATCATGGAACTGGCCACCCAAATACCCCAAGAGAATTGCTTCAATACAGAAATAAAACCTCCTCTGCCTGCACACCCACAGTTGTCATCTCCCATCCCGCACTGGGACCCATATGAGGAATCATCAAACTACTACAAACCATTTTCTATGCGGACCCTGTCCTGAAAGAAATCTTTCATGAACCCCACCTCTTCGAGCCTTCAAACAATCCCCCAACCTCTCCAAGCTCATCATCAGAAGTAAGCTCCCCACAGACCAGGGCACACCAACTCAAAGCAGCACCAGATTCTGCCAGAATAACAGATGCAAAGCCTGCAGACATATCTCCACTGCTACAATGATCAACACCCTCCACAACACACCTGTAAAGACCCATGGGTCCTACATATACCTATCACAACGTGTGGTGTTCCTCATCCAGTGCACTAAATGCCCCATTAGCCCCTATGTGGGTGAAACCAGACAATCACTATGCTCTCAAATGAACTAGCCCATGAAAGTGATAAAAAAACCAAAACACCCTATCACCTCTGGGTGAACACTTTTCATAAAGCTATCACTCTATATCTGACCTATCAGTCCTCATCCTTATAAGAAAGCTGCACAACACCATTAAAAGATGAGGCTGGGAGCTTAAATTCATAACTTTGTTAGACACTAAAAATCATGGTTTTAATAAAGACCCTGGATTTATGGCTTATTACAACAATCTGTAATCCACTAACCCCCACCTCCCCGCTTTTTGTCCTATGACTACAGGGGTGTTAATGGGCAACTTCAACTTGAATGATCCCTTTA